TATCTGAGACTGGATTTTAAAGGGGACATAGTGGGTGATATTTTAACACGTCGACTCAAAAGATCTTTTGCGAGGACTTTGCACGACACTAAGCTACATACGATTTTTTCAACTAAACCAGTGCTTATACAACAAATCAAGGATAGTTAACTGATGATGGGCTCCTCCATGTGTGCATACCAATCCAACTACTCCTGTGCTGCTAGTTACGTAGGCCGTAATCAAACGGCTTTATCATTGCATGTTCGTCAACATGTACCAGCATGGTTGGGAAAAGAAGTTACTAAATCGATCAACAGTATTATTGTTTATCACTTGGTAGATAGAGAATATCATATTAAAATAGAGGAAACTTCCTCTGTTTTATCTTAAGTTCCGAAATATCTATCACAAGGAGCTAGATTACGGCTACTCAACATAGCCGAGGCCATCTGGATCAACTTCGGAAAACCGAACTTATGTATCCAGAAAAGGTATATCCAGTCTCTATGCTTACCTTGGTCTACAACTGGATTACGAACACCTAAACTGAATATTATAAACCTCTTTAAACCATTCCCTCTCATATTTTATGATTACATCTATCTTAATCTTCTATCTTTCCCAATGCATATGAACCCTTTTATCTCGCAATTACCTTGATAACGCCCCTCTCATTACATATTATTATTCACACAAAGATATTATAACTATCATCATTATTATCTCAATTGACAAGATGAAATTCTCCTACTATGCATTTTATTCACATGATTTTCATTCATTTTCATTTTTGCTATATTACTGCTATACTGATTGTGACTGAACACTTTACTCCAAATCATCCTGACCTTTATTAAATGACCAATATGATTTACAAATGACACTATCTTGAAGCAGTTATACCACAACAGATGCAAACCTTCACCAATTTTAATATATTACATTGTCAAATTCATTAATACATGCCTGAAAATTGGGCCTTTGTAAAAATATCACAATAGTGATGAACTTGTAACTGTAGAGACTGATGATAGTTATTGAAAACAATAGTTGATGGGTGTATTACACTTTTATTAAAATCACTTCCAAGATATGGAAGTATGATGAAGTGTGATGTAACTCAATAATTATTCAACACTCTATAACACACACATATCATTTTCGAATAATTCACCTACCTCTGTTTCACCACCTTCTCCATCTTGCCATACATAAACAGAAGCTATGAAAGCAAGAATTTTATGTGCCAATCTCAATTCCTTATGATTATCAAGACCATTCAAATCTAAAAGTGGTAACTAGGAGAAAAGTTGATCGTTTGAGTTACAAGAACGTACAAGTAATTTTATTAAGTTATTTATTACTATTAATCTGTAATCTGATTATCTTTTTCAATTGTATTTCATTGAAGCGATTGTGCAGCAATGGGCAGATTGATCGACCGCATTGAATGTTCAAGAATGAAAGTATGTATCAGAAAATCTGAAATCTCTCCACTGTATATTTCAACGACATTTTCTCTCACAGTTTTCATATAATAGGTATTATCTATATATAAACTCAGTGGTTAGACCGGAGGTTGACAATAAACTTAAAATGAGAAATGAATTGAATCACCACATTTTCTCTATATATGAACACAGAATCAGTATTCTGCTTGAAGGAATAAGTTTGAAAGTACTTATACGAACATGTTATTTCAGAAATGCACCACTAAAAGCATAAATAAATATTAGTAAGTAGAGGACATTTGATGATATTTGAAATGAATGGGTCTTGTAGCTCCGAGAAAATATTTTAGGAATAATATAAATACACATAATAGTAAAACTGAAATTATGTGAATTCATATTCTCTGATTATTTACCTAAAGACGGATAATACAATTCTTGACCTTTATAACTGTTATAACCCAATTATTATGCATTTTTAACAGATCGACAAGAAACTTGTACCCAATATAGATTTCGACCAGATTAATAATTCTCCAAAACACTTTCCGGCAATCATCTATGATTTTGTTCTTAGAAACATTGATGACTGATTACAGAATTTTACAGTTGAACATAATTCACTTTCACTTGGTGTTGTTTGTTCGTATCTTTCCACTATTGTTTGTGTATGCAACTAATCTATCTCTTGTTGGCATATGTGAATCGTGTGTAGATTGTCTGGATATTACATCACGTCACAAGCGTTTTAAGCAAATATGGATAGTGGCTAGCAGTGGAATGGAGGACGCGAGTTTCGTCCTATTTAGGACTGGTCAGCTGTAAGAATCTGCATCCCACAGTAGATGTTCACTCTGGGACTCGAACCCAGAACTGATCACTTCAAACGACATCGTGTTACGCAATTAGCTACAGATTCCTGATAGCCATGTGCTTGTGCAATGGGGTGAAGTTCAAATTCATTCGGTGTTGTTTGCTTGTATCTCATCATTGTTGTCATATTCATCTGACGAGTCCCAAATGGGAAGAATCGCACATCCTGGATTCCACTGCTTGCCACTATCCATCTATGCTTATGATAATTCACACTGATTTACAAATATATATATATATATATATATATATATATATATATATCGGTTATGAAATATTGAAACCGACTTGAAATATGTACTCAGTTATAAGGTGACTGGTTAAGATAAGGAATTCTTTTCCAATAAACATATACACAATAAAAGTGTTCGAATAACTATATGCTTGTTGGAATTCAATACATAATTTTTAATGAATGACTGACAGTTGAAGGGCGATATTGGAAATGTTGAAAATAAATTATTATTAAGGTGAATTTCTTTTGAATTGACATAATCAAACGGTTTTCCGGTACATTATCAATAATATCTCTCTTGAGATGGTGATTCGAGGTGGTCGACAGGAAACATTTGACCTGAATTCCATGATATTTGACACGGGATCGAATCAGTCAGGACGCATCACTTCAGTGTCCATACAGAAATTCTTCTATTTTAAAATATTATGTATATCAGAAACACATATGCTAATCATGTGAGTTAGCTTACTATAGAGTATTGTATATGTTTCCAGATTTAATTGCCTTGTAAACTTTACGTAATAATTACGTGCACTCAAATAAAACACCTCGGATATGCGTAATATTATAGTACGAAATCTATGTTTGCAGTGAAGTAAATTACAAAACAGATATCAGGTTATTACAGTGGTGAGCCCGTCGACAACATTGTCCGATCTAAGTGACGTCAAAATTAAAGGCCCCACAACGCGCTCTCAGTTTAAACACCTCAAATATACGTAATATTTTAGTATTAAATCTATGTTTGCAATAAAATAATTTGAGAAAAACAAAACAACTAAACAATATAATCAATTACTTACTGATTCTACTTCTTTTCTCAAACTCCGATTTCTCGATAGTTCCGGCAATCGATCAACCAATGTGTTCCATGCATTCCATTTCGATGGAAGAGTTTTCTAGTATTATTTGAAAGAAAAACACCTTAATAGTTCAATATGATAATCAAACCGTTGGATTCTCTTCAATTGCACCAGTTTTAAATGATAAACAATAAGATTCTAAACTGTTCATCGTTGGCTAGTTGGTTAGCTGTTATTTAGTTACTTCAATAAGACTGTCTCATACATCTCTATGCATAAATGTCTCTCTATATATATGCATATAATGTGTAGGTTATCACGTGTATTAGTTTGAACAGACTATACGAGTGGAACTGTCCAATCGTAAGCTTGATAATATTGGACCAATATCATTCTTATTATTTAACATACTAGATAGTTTAAACGTTCTTCTTCTTCTTCTTCTTGTCAACGAAAAGAGGTCATTCTAATTAAATTATTTAATAATATAACATGGATCCATAACAAACTGATTGTTAGATTAGCAAAATATAATTAAAGTTGAAACTGTTTGAAGAGATTTTCATTTTATTAGTGAAATGTTTAGTGTTGTTGAGGAATCATCATTACTGAGATTTTAGTTGAGAATCTGTTCACTGATATACAATTGATCGTTTCCAAGATCAGTTGATCTTTACCTACTTCAATAAATAAATGTTTCCCTAAAAGTCACAGGTTAGCTCGTTGAATTTCAAAATGATGTAAACGATGTGGATTTATCCATGGATTGATCAGATTAACAACAACAGCAACAACAACAACAACAACAACAACATAAACTAGAACTGTAATAGAGTTATGTATTGGATTATGTATTAACTGATAGTCGAAAACTGATCAATGTCCTGTTATTAAGTCTTTAATACAAATGAAATTTTGTTGACTGGATTGTTTATTGGCTAAGCAACTCGATATTCTTGGCCAATTCATTTGATTTTAGACCATTTAAGCTATAGATCATTTAAGTTTCAGATTGAAATCATGTGTTAGGAGATATGTGTCTGGTCATATGAGGCTGTGGTTGGTCAATGAATGTGGATTAACACTTATTGCTTCATTTTGTTTCATACTGGCCTAACATTGTCAAGTGTCATAATACAAGTACTGGGCATCAGACCGATAACATATTCCTTATGTGACTTAGTTTAACATGCGACAGATTGATTACTTTTGATGGGAATTTAGTATTAGTGTAATCGGAATATCTCTATTGTTCGTCTGAGGAAAACAATTGTGCAAATAATCACCTCGATCAGAAAAGTGATCAGCTCGCTATTGCAACCATGAATTCTCTCATAAATTTCAGTCAGTTATTCATATGAATAGAATACGGTTACTGAATGCTTCATAAATATTCTATGGGATGAGCAGTTTGTGATGAGTTCCTATAATCTCCATTCAGTAGGTACTGTGTTGTTCGGTTGAATTGTATAAAGCAATAAATACTAGAGAAAATCATATAGTTAGCTATTGAGCTAGATAAGATCGATAGTGATTCCCTTGTATTGTCGGTCACAGTATGCGTTGTTTATTGACCGATTGATCTAATATTGCTTCAGTCTATGTAGTTTGAACAACAGCAATGTGCAACGTGTTTCTTCCTATTTGTTGTGCATGACTTTGGTTCAGTGTTCAAATGTTGTAGATGTCGAATCCGGTGAACCTGATGGAAACGTGTCGTGTCTATTATCATATGATGGTCTGTCATTGTATAGGCGGATGCGCCGAAAGAAATCGCGTGTTCAGTCCTATGTAATGTGAAAGCGATTCTCTATATAACAGTGAGAGGAGTAAAGACTAATGGCTTATTTATTCGTTAGTAAGTTAGTTAGTTAGCTAGTCAGTTAGTGAACTGTTTCCACCACCTAAGAACAAATCAAACCTGCAACCATCAAGTCTCCTGAAAAGCATGATAAGTTCAAATAGTCAGATCGGAGTGCTACGATTTGTGCTCTCGAATTACTTCAATTCGGTACATAATTCATTCACGATACATTGTTATCAGGACACATTTATCTCACTCGTAACACGGCTTCCATTCACCAGTCACAATTCCCTACATGAACTTCAAAAATCCATATGGAAGTAATTTAACGTTAAGCACCTGATAAACGCAAAAGTAATGTACAAGGTTATGGTGTGACAATTATCTAGAACTTCATATTTTCTACAACTAATTGTCAGTTAATGTCAGTCAGTAAAGAAAAAATGTTTGTAGGCTCTATTCATAGAAACAAAATGCAATCTAAGGGCATATTTTTCAAAAATGGTCTGTTTCATACTAATTAGACATAAATGACACATAATTAGCTCTTTTCAAGTTTTCTCAATCTATAGTTTAATTACTGTCTGGTGTGATTTGCATAGCAAACATTATTGCTTCATAAAAAACTTAGCACAATTTGTTTTATGTCTAAAATATTCACTAAATTTAACCGATGTATTAAGATAGAAGGTTCACCGTATACAAAGCTGATTGACTTGAAATTATTTGTTCTACAATTAAAACAACAAAGTTACATATTCAGAAAAATTTCAAAGTAAACTATAAACATGGATTTGATCATCACTAAATTGAGTGACTGAACTGACTGATTTCATTATGATGAACAGATCAAAGAGGAACAATCCGATGATTACATTGTAAGCGGTAATCTATTAAAGTCATTCAACAATACTTCTTTTATTCTATACTTATTTCTTATTCTTCGCCTCCTAAAGTTTATATTCTTGACTATCTGTCTATCAACACAATTTTTATTAATAAGGCAAACTTATCAATACTACTACTACTACTACTACTACTACTACTACTACTACTACTACTACTACTACTACTACTACTACTACTACTACTACTACTACTACTACTACTACTACTACTACTACTACTACTACTACTACTACTACTACTACTACTACTACTACTACTACTACTACTACTACTACTACTACTACTACTACTACTACTACTACTACTACTACTACTACTACTACTACTACTACTACTACTACTACTACTACTACTACTACTACTACTACTACTACTACTACTACTACTACTACTACTACTACTACTACTACTACTACTACTACTACTACTACTACTACTACTACTACTACTACTACTACTACTACTACTACTACTACTACTACTACTACTACTACTACTACTACTACTACTACTACTACTACTACTACTACTACTACTACTACTACTACTACTACTACTACTACTACTACTACTACTACTACTACTACTACTACTACTACTACTACTACTACTACTACTACTACTACTACTACTAGTACTGAGTGTAGTCGTGGTGATAATTGTATGTATTTGAATACAAAATTACAGATACATTAATATTATCTGATAATCTTACAGTAAATACCTTATTTGTAAAATGTTCATTTTTTGTCTCAGAAATTATTTTTGCTGTATTTCTATACCAATTTGTTTCTGTTCCCGTTCTTTCCTTCTTACTCTCCTTTACCACCTGTCTAAAGTTATATACTACTTTTGTCGACATAAGTAGCACTGACAAACTACTACTATTATTAATACACCTGTTATTCTTTTATCAGATTTTTGTTCTTGTTTATCATATGTAGTTATGTAATCTGTTTCACTGAGATCGTTGACTGGTAAATTGTGTTGAATAATTCAATTTCTTCATACATCAATATCAATATTCATGCATATTAGACAAGAGTCCAACGGCTAGATATAGTGTCTTGTGTGAATAAATGTTTATAAACATCCATCACTTTTTAATGAAAGTTGTAAAAGTTTTTTTTAACGGTTATAAATACATATGTGATGGATTCTTGAATGATGATACACCTCATGGAAATTGGTTGTGTTATGTTGACTTGCTTACTTACCAAATTACTAAATTACTTACCTATTTACTTACTTACACACGTGAGGTATAAACAGATGAAGGGAGTAGTAGTAGTAGTAGTAGTAGTAGTAGTAGTAGTAGTAGTAGTAGTAGTAGTAGTAGTAGTAGTAGTAGTAGTAGTAGTAGTAGTAGTAGTAGTAGTAGTAGTAGTAGTAGTAGTAGTAGTAGTAGTAGTAGTAGTAGTAGTAGTAGTAGTAGTAGTAGTAGTAGTAGTAGTAGTAGTAGTAGTAGTAGTAGTAGTAGTAGTAGTAGTAGTAGTAGTAGTAGTAGTAGTAGTAGTAGTAGTAGTAGTAGTAGTAGTAGTAGTAGTATTGATAAGTTTGCCTTATTAATAAAAATTGTGTTGATAGACAGATAGTCAAGAATATAAACTTTAGGAGGCGAAGAATAAGAAATAAGTATAGAATAAAAGAAGTATTGTTGAATGACTTTAATAGATTACCGCTTACAATGTAATCATCGGATTGTTCCTCTTTGATCTGTTCATCATAATGAAATCAGTCAGTTCAGTCACTCAATTTAGTGATGATCAAATCCATGTTTATAGTTTACTTTGAAATTTTTCTGAATATGTAACTTTGTTGTTTTAATTGTAGAACAAATAATTTCAAGTCAATCAGCTTTGTATACGGTGAACCTTCTATCTTAATACATCGGTTAAATTTAGTGAATATTTTAGACATAAAACAAATTGTGTTAAGTTTTTTATGAAGCAATAATGTTTGCTATGCAAATCACACCAGACAGTAATTAAACTATAGATTGAGAAAACTTGAAAAGAGCTAATTATGTGTCATTTATGTCTAATTAGTATGAAACAGACCATTTTTGAAAAATATGCCCTTAGATTGCATTTTGTTTCTATGAATAGAGCCTACAAACATTTTTTTCTTTACTGACTGACATTAACTGACAATTAGTTGTAGAAAATATGAAGTTCTAGATAATTGTCACACCATAACCTTGTACATTACTTTTGCGTTTATCAGGTGCTTAACGTTAAATTACTTTCATATGGATTTTTGAAGTTCATGTAGGGAATTGTGACTGGTGAATGGAAGCCGTGTTACCAGTGAGATAAATGTGACCTGATAACAATGTATCGTGAATGAATTATGTACCGAATTGAAGTAATTCGAGAGCACAAATCGTAGCACTCCGATCTGACTATTTGAACTTATCATGCTTTTCAGGAGACTTGATGGTTGCAGGTTTGATTTGTTCTTAGGTGGTGGAAACAGTTCACTAACTGACTAGCTAACTAACTAACTTACTAACGAATAAATAAGCCATTAGTCTTTACTCCTCTCACTGTTATATAGAGAATCGCTTTCGCATTACATAGGACTGAACACGCGATTTCTTTCGGCGCATCCGCCTATACAATGACAGACCATCATATGATAATAGACACGACACGTTTCCATCAGGTTCACCAGATTCGACATCTACAACATTTGAACACTGAACCAAAGTCATTCACAACAAATAGGAAGAAACACGTTGCACATTGCTGTTGTTCGAACTACATAGACTGAAGCAATATTAGATCAATCGGTCAATAAACAACGCATACTGTGACCGACAATACAAGGGAATCACTATCGATCTTATCTAGCTCAATAGCTAACTATATGATTTTCTCTAGTATTTATTGCTTTATACAATTCAACCGAACAACACAGTACCTACTGAATGGAGATTATAGGAACTCATCACAAACTGCTCATCCCATAGAATATTTATGAAGCATTCAGTAACCGTATTCTATTCATATGAATAACTGACTGAAATTTATGAGAGAATTCATGGTTGCAATAGCGAGCTGATCACTTTTCTGATCGAGGTGATTATTTGCACAATTGTTTTCCTCAGACGAACAATAGAGATATTCCGATTACACTAATACTAAATTCCCATCAAAAGTAATCAATCTGTCGCATGTTAAACTAAGTCACATAAGGAATATGTTATCGGTCTGATGCCCAGTACTTGTATTATGACACTTGACAATGTTAGGCCAGTATGAAACAAAATGAAGCAATAAGTGTTAATCCACATTCATTGACCAACCACAGCCTCATATGACCAGACACATATCTCCTAACACATGATTTCAATCTGAAACTTAAATGATCTATAGCTTAAATGGTCTAAAATCAAATGAATTGGCCAAGAATATCGAGTTGCTTAGCCAATAAACAATCCAGTCAACAAAATTTCATTTGTATTAAAGACTTAATAACAGGACATTGATCAGTTTTCGACTATCAGTTAATACATAATCCAATACATAACTCTATTACAGTTCTAGTTTATGTTGTTGTTGTTGTTGTTGTTGTTGCTGTTGTTGTTAATCTGATCAATCCATGGATAAATCCACATCGTTTACATCATTTTGAAATTCAACGAGCTAACCTGTGACTTTTAGGGAAACATTTATTTATTGAAGTAGGTAAAGATCAACTGATCTTGGAAACGATCAATTGTATATCAGTGAACAGATTCTCAACTAAAATCTCAGTAATGATGATTCCTCAACAACACTAAACATTTCACTAATAAAATGAAAATCTCTTCAAACAGTTTCAACTTTAATTATATTTTGCTAATCTAACAATCAGTTTGTTATGGATCCATGTTATATTATTAAATAATTTAATTAGAATGACCTCTTTTCGTTGACAAGAAGAAGAAGAAGAAGAACGTTTAAACTATCTAGTATGTTAAATAATAAGAATGATATTGGTCCAATATTATCAAGCTTACGATTGGACAGTTCCACTCGTATAGTTTGTTCAAACTAATACACGTGATAACCTACACATTATATGCATATATATAGAGAGACATTTATGCATAGAGATGTATGAGACAGTCTTATTGAAGTAACTAAATAACAGCTAACCAACTAGCCAACGATGAACAGTTTAGAATCTTATTGTTTATCATTTAAAACTGGTGCAATTGAAGAGAATCCAACGGTTTGATTATCATATTGAACTATTAAGGTGTTTTTCTTTCAAATAATACTAGAAAACTCTTCCATCGAAATGGAATGCATGGAACACATTGGTTGATCGATTGCCGGAACTATCGAGAAATCGGAGTTTGAGAAAAGAAGTAGAATCAGTAAGTAATTGATTATATTGTTTAGTTGTTTTGTTTTTCTCAAATTATTTTATTGCAAACATAGATTTAATACTAAAATATTACGTATATTTGAGGTGTTTAAACTGAGAGCGCGTTGTGGGGCCTTTAATTTTGACGTCACTTAGATCGGACAATGTTGTCGACGGGCTCACCACTGTAATAACCTGATATCTGTTTTGTAATTTACTTCACTGCAAACATAGATTTCGTACTATAATATTACGCATATCCGAGGTGTTTTATTTGAGTGCACGTAATTATTACGTAAAGTTTACAAGGCAATTAAATCTGGAAACATATACAATACTCTATAGTAAGCTAACTCACATGATTAGCATATGTGTTTCTGATATACATAATATTTTAAAATAGAAGAATTTCTGTATGGACACTGAAGTGATGCGTCCTGACTGATTCGATCCCGTGTCAAATATCATGGAATTCAGGTCAAGTGTTTCCTGTCGACCACCTCGAATCACCATTTCAAGAGAGATATTATTGATAATGTACCGTAAAACCGTTTGATTATGTCAATTCAAAAGAAATTCACCTTAATAATAATTTATTTTCAACATTTCCAATATCGCCCTTCAACTGTCAGTCATTCATTAAAAATTATGTATTGAATTCCAACAAGCATATAGTTATTCGAACACTTTTATTGTGTATATGTTTATTGGAAAAGAATTCCTTATCTTAACCAGTCACCTTATAACTGAGTACATATTTCAAGTCGGTTTCAATATTTCATAACCGATATATATATATATATATATATATATATATATATATATTTGTAAATCAGTGTGAATTATCATAAGCATAGATGGATAGTGGCAAGCAGTGGAATCCAGGATGTGCGATTCTTCCCATTTGGGACTCGTCAGATGAATATGACAACAATGATGAGATACAAGCAAACAACACCGAATGAATTTGAACTTCACCCCATTGCACAAGCACATGGCTATCAGGAATCTGTAGCTAATTGCGTAACACGATGTCGTTTGAAGTGATCAGTTCTGGGTTCGAGTCCCAGAGTGAACATCTACTGTGGGATGCAGATTCTTACAGCTGACCAGTCCTAAATAGGACGAAACTCGCGTCCTCCATTCCACTGCTAGCCACTATCCATATTTGCTTAAAACGCTTGTGACGTGATGTAATATCCAGACAATCTACACACGATTCACATATGCCAACAAGAGATAGATTAGTTGCATACACAAACAATAGTGGAAAGATACGAACAAACAACACCAAGTGAAAGTGAATTATGTTCAACTGTAAAATTCTGTAATCAGTC